CACGTCTCAGCAACGGAAGCTGACAGCTAAGTAGCCTGGAAAAAGCCTGCGTAGCATGCAAGCTCTTCCACGTCTCAGCAACGGAAGCTGACCACGAAGTAGTCTGGACAAAGGTTGCGTAGCATGCAAGATCTTCCACGTCTCAGCAACGGAAGCTGACAGCAAAGCAGCTTGGACGAAGCCTGCGTAGCATACAAGCTGCGCTGCAACCACCCAAATTGAAGACACCCAAAGCGTTGTTCGCCTTGGTATGGGAGGGGGGCAAGCAGAATGATGAGGAACCACCATATATTTAGCCAATGCAGCTTTGGGCTAGCTGATGACAAAGGCGATGAGGATAAGGGTGTGCCCAGTCTATTTTTGCCAGTGAGATGTGGATGCCAAATCCATGAGAACCTAAGCACAGCCGGGAGCATCCCTCAGCTTTGCGCCATCTTCCCAGGGATGCTTCTCCAAAAATCGGTCACAACAGTTTGAACATGATCCAGCCCTTGAAGTTCAGGCAGATACCACGCCGTGCTGGAATGTGGATGCTTAAACGACCAAGGCATTTTTTCAGCATCAAGCTAATGAATTATCTTGACAGCTGAACGCATGCGTTTGTTGCCCTTAATTTTTTTGGTCGGCGTTGCAAGGATCTGGAATTCCCCAAGGATGCAGCTTAGTGCGAATATTGCCAGCTCGATCCCGAGCGCAAGAGAAGGTTACACATGGCGGAGCGATCATGCCTCCGAGCAGCAACGTCTTGGAGAGATCATACTTGATCTTTGCAAGCGCGTGAGGAGCTCACTGAAGTATGACCCTTTCCTCACCGGCCAAGGAGAGGGATGACCAGATAGCTTTGGCCTAGCAGTACTTTTCGGGTTTCTGCCAGGTCGCAGCGAGCTGCCCTGCGTTTTCGTAGTGGGCGACAACTCTGCTTGCTCTCTTCCTCCTAGGATCTCAAGTTTTTGGCCCTGTGCATGCAGGGCCCTGAGTGACGGGCTCGGTGAGGGACCAGCTGAAGCTTGAGGTCCTGGCAAGTTGCACGGAACACATTCAAGTAGCTCGCGTAATCAAAGGTGAGTACGTAGTCTCCGCGGGACAGCTGCTGAAGCAGCGCTCCGGCAAAGCTTAGCCATTCGCTGTCCAGCAACACTGAGTCGTCCTTCGTGCATGTCTTTGACACGTCTGCAGTTTCTGCCAAACTTGTTATATACTACGGACCAGTCCCCAGTCACACCTCACGTTTCGAAGTTTGGAAAGGGTACCTGGCCTGTTGTGAGTTCAGACCTGGAGGAGGTTGAGCAAGGCTTTGGTGACGTGTCCACATGCCACCACACCAAACGGCAAGGGGGGTAATGGGCTCAGCTTGCGCCGTCCCTGCAGACACCCCAAGATCTTGGTATCTTTCGCGCCCCCAGCCTGCCGAACTGGGGAAATCTGCAGCAAGGGTGTAGTCTGCCACAGAGCCCCCTTCAGTCAAACGGCAGCTTCTGTCCTTTCGCAAAGCATCGAAGGTCTTGAAGGCGTTGGCTGTAAGCAGCTTTCACCTGGCCCGTCACCGCAGCCTCCCCCAGTAGACTCTGCTGGGACAGTCCTCACCTCCTTAGCATGAGGGGTAGTTCATCTGCGAGACTCATTCATCACGAAACCGGCTACTTGCAAAGCGCTCCCACGCGCTGAATGTGAGGCTAACCTGAATAGACCGCTGCTTCGCCCACATCGGAGCAGGCCCTCCACAGCCTGGTGTACTTTCCAAAGCCGGTTGCTTGTGATGCGGCTCCGTAGCTTCCCCCCTCAATCACACAGCCTAGTGCCTCCACAGTGCCACTGCTCACTTCACTGCCATGTAGCTCAAGTCCCAAACTGTTGAACATTCATGTCTCCCAGGAGTATGCAGAGCACACATGTAAAGGAGTGCCAGTTGCAGAAGATTTCCTTCACAGGAAACACAACAAGTTTGCATGTTGCCCATGGAGGCTCGAGACCCTCAAGAGCCCAGAGGAAAAGTGTAGTGTTTGCAAGCTTTGTTTGAGGACTTAGTTTAGGCATGACCAGCGCTCAGGAAGCAAGATGGTTGCCCTCCTCACAGGAAATGTGCAGCCCCAGTTCGAAGCAGAGATTGTGGTCATGGTTTTCATGATTGTGAGCCTGGCGCTTTTTTTCTGGATGTTGAGAATAGCAGGAAGTTTGTGAGTGACCTTGTGAGGAAAGAGTTTTGTGAAAGAACTCATCATGGAGGAGGTCCCAGCGCTGTCTCCCTGGATTGCGCCAGTGTCAAGGAAAACATTCCACGCCAGGAATGACTGCCGTGTTCTTATGCGTGCTGGAAACACTCGACCTCTCGAACCTTGTGCAGTTTGCTGTCCAAACAATTTGTTGACTCTGGAAAGAAGAAGGAGAACAAACCAGCACATGTTTGTGACCTAGCTTGGAAAATTTCTCTGGATCAAATTGTCGTCTACTGATGCATTATTGTCCATGTCTGTGGCACTTCTCTGGAAAGCTTGCATGGTTGAGCGGTTGATTGCGCCGAGTTTGTTTGCTACCGTTGTCCCAGGAACAAGTACATCAAGCCTTTGCCGATGGCAATCCTGCAAGGATGAGCCGGGAGTCCTCTAGAGATGTTTTCCCTTTGGGGATGAAAGTGATGTGACAGAATTGATGTCTATGTTTGTTCACTGGAAGCCCATTGCGAGAAAGGTGTATCTGCGTAGTTTGACTCTGCTTGAGACAGAGTACCAGCACGTTGCAAGGTATGTCTTGATGATCTTTGCCAGTGTTGAGAAAGTTGTTGCGTGTGTGCAGGAAAAGTTGATTGCCCTGAGTGAGGTGATCTCAGGATCGAGCCTTGAGCCCGAGGAATTTGATCTACATCATGGGAATGAAGGCTACGGGACCTGTCGTGACAGTAATTCAAGAGAATAGTTTTCTTGCAAGCTTGTGTGCGTTTGCCCTGACCTCCTACGGCGTGATCACTTGGATCGTCGTTTTGTCAGTGACCCAAAAGACAAAATGTGGTGTTCAATCCCAGGAACTGCTCCAGAAATCAAAAGAGAAAATCTCGAACGAGAACATGCAGTTCCAGGAAAATATTGAGATCGACGCTATTTTGCACTTTGCTGTGCACAAATCTTCATGCAGCAACAGCGATGGAAGCAGCTCTTCAACAGTTGATGGAGCTACGGAATCCAAACATGCAGACAGTGCCAGCATTGGTTCTGCAAGTTGCACATCCTGCTCAACTACGATGACAAGATCTCTTATGAAGATATCAGAGATTACATGTTGAGTGTGGAAGAGAACAGAATATGGACAAAGCTTACCGCAGGAAGGAGACAAACAACAACCGATCTCATAGAAAGCGGAGGCTGACATGGATGTGAACCTCGTCAAAGGAAAAGGTACAGGAAAAGGAAAACCACAAAGGCAAGGGCAAAGGAAAAGGATTCTCAGGAAAGGCAAATGCAAAGGAAAGTCAAAGTGTGAATCTGGCTACGGCGAAGGAAGAAACAAAGAGACATGAGAACAGGTCATACCAGGCAAGTACAAGAAAATCAGCAAAGCAGTGCAGGTGTTTCTCAGACACCTACAGCTACAGCAGCACCTTCTACGTCAACGTCAACTACAACCACGCAGCAAAACGACTCAAAGTTGAACATCCGCAGAATTGACGTGTGGCATATTGGAGATGAACCAGATCAATATCCTGAAGCTTTTGCCCTCTCTGGAAGTGAAGCAGAAGATGAGCTGGATATTGATTACTTTGGATTGAAGCATTCGTGCTGTTCAAGTCATTTGCGCGGAATATCGTCACATGTGTTCTGAAGATCAGGAAGAGCCAGTGTCTCTGAGCATTTCAGATTCAGTCATGCTGTGGTGGTTTGATGTGGAAGAAGAGTTTCATGTGCGTGTGGTCAACAATGGTCAGCCTCTCGCAAGAAGATCTCTGCAGATTGTCATTGATTCAGGTGCAGATTTTTCATTGTTGCCCAGGCATATGAAAAACGCAGGGCAATCCTTTCGTTCTGCTCTCAGCAACATGAGAAGCAGTGATGCGCAAGGCAGTCAAATCCGTTTCGGAGATGAAAAGAGTTGTGACTCTGGAATTCACGGGACACAATGGTGTGCCTGTTCAAGTTACAGAAAGGTTCTCGGTTGCAGATGTTACAAGTCCTCTTTTGGCGATTGGCAAGCTTATACGCAATGGCTGGGGAATTGTGCGCAATGCAGTTGATGGAGATGTCTCAAGACCTTTTTTGTCAGATGGGGAAACGTTTGTCCCTGTTTGCATGAGCAAGAACAGCTTGTCAGCTCAGGCCAAGATTGTCCCAGGACATCCTGGGAAGAGTTTACTGCTTCAGGTGGGGCACACATACGCGGCAGCCGCAGTGCTCTTGATTTTTGTGGCATATCGTCGCCCGGGCGAGGCGTTGGGGTTGAGGGAAGGAGACCTTGTAAAGCCATCAAGGGTTCATCCCCACTTCACCCTGAACCTCCATCCCGAAGAACGTCAAGAAACATCCGAATCAGGGCTCAGAAACGAGACTGTGATGCTGGACAGCGTTACCGTACCTTTTCTGGGCAACCTCCTG